GATTTACATCCCAGAAGATCAGGCCACAAGTTTTGCTTCTCAAATTATATTGTAGTTGTATTATTTTGAAATGAAGCCTTCATTAGTATGCTTTTAAGTAACCTAAACTTTCTTGAAATCTATTTGAGTTTGTAAATACTACTGACTATTATCTTTCCCACATCCTTTAAATGACAGTTAATAAATTCTGATGGAGAGTTTTAATGCACAGAGCAGGGACTGAGGATGGAGAAAAGGAGGAGAGATCTGTTTAGATCATGCCATGAGGAATTAGATTTATAGTTCTGGATTGGGGCGGGATAGGAAAATGGTCTTTGTAAAAATGACAGGTTTGTTGTTGTTGTTGTTGTTGTTTTTTAAAGGAAAATCATAAATACCACACTCGGGTTGGTCTCCAGGGATGAGGTTTGACGATTTGAAGTTTTCTTGGTTTTTGATGGCACTGACATAGGGTGGCCAGGCTCTATCCCCAGAGCCCCCACTGCCCAAGAGAATGGATCTTCCTTTATCTAGGGAAGGATTTGTCAACTTTGGACTATTGACATTCGGGGCAGGATAACTCTGTTGTAGGTAATGCCCTCTGTATTGTAGGATATTTAGTAGCACTCCAGCCCCACTAGATGCCCGAAGCAGCGAACCTCCCCACCCCCACCACTGTTGTATTCCAAATGGCTTCTGGGCAGCAAAGTCAATCCTGGTGGAGAACCACTGATCTAAGGTGAAGATGTTCGGTTCTGGCATTTGTGTGAATGTTTACCATTGTCACCAGGAGCTAAGAATGTGTTGTCAGACATTGTATCTGGGGGCTGGTTGGTTTGTATCAGCGTGTCATTCGTCTGCCTGCCTTCCTCCCATGTGAAGTTGGTTCTCCTCCGAGGTGTCAGGTTCTGGGCCATCTTGTGATCTTTGTGATCTTTTGCTGGGGCCCTCACTGGTGATCTTTGACCTGAATGCCACACAACAAGGAAGCTAATGGACCGCTTTGCCCATGAGCTGTAGGACTTTGGACATGTCTCTTGTCTGTTCTGGGCCTGATTCTCCCCCTGTAGGATTTCTGGGTTTGGCTCAATCACCATTCCTTATGGGGTATTCCAGTGAAAAAGGACCATGGAAGAGCCTTTGTGGGAAAGAAAGGTAGTGCGGCCAAATTGGTTTGGGGAGTAGTAGATCCTGCAATATCTGCTTGGAGATTCATAACGTGCATAAGCATGTGAGATGCTTTCTAGAATTCTCTGCACCCAGATCTCCATGTACCTCACTACCCACTTTTCTCCAATGTTACTTCCCCAGAGACTTTTCTAATCACCCACCGGCAATGCTCTAGTGTCTCATCTTTCTTTACAGGAATGCTCATTTTCTGACATTATGGCTTAAGTATTTACTTCTTTGTTTATTGTCTGTTTCTCTGCACCCAGAATCTAGCCTTGGTGTCAAGAGGGACTTGGTCCATTTGTTTGCAGCTGATCAGTATCGCATGTGGCACATAGTAGATGCTTAGTAAAAATGTGTTGTTTCACTTGTGGATTTCCAAATGAATTTAATCAGGGACTTTTTCACTTCCACTCATTAAAGTCCAGGGAAACAAACTTGGGAATCAACAAGGGAGACTGTCTCTAAATCCTGAAAGCCGTGGCCTCCTAACATTCCCTTTCTTAGGACAAGCCACTCTGTTCTAAAGGTACCAAAAATCTGGTATTAGGCTGGAGAGCAAACAAAATGGACTGACTTGTCCACTATCCATGACTGGAGTTGCCATCTGGTGAACTGAGGAAGAGAGCGCCCTTTTGCCTCAATGATCTTTTGTGGCTCCCCTTTGTCAGAACTGTAACCGGTCTGAGAAAAGTGGGGGGGGGAACCTAACAAACAAACAAACAAAAAAACAAAAACAAAACAAAAACAAAAACCAGGGTTAGGTGGAGCGGCCACTATGTGCTCAGCACTGTTGATGATGCAAAGGCCTTGCCTGTCTTCAAGGACTAAGGCTAAATTTAGGATCAGATCTCAAAAGGGGGTTTTCCGGGGGACAAAGCATCTCTTAAAGAACCCAAGGGCTGGGCTGGGCTGGGCTTCCCACGGAAAGACCACGGACCAGAAATCTATCTGCTTTGCTCACCTGTGGCCCATCACCATGGCGCCCAAACCGCCCACTAATCCCTGAGACTCCACCACCCAATGACGTCTCCATTCACTGCAGGACCAATTCCTAAGCGGGCAGGGCCTAGCCCAGCTCAGCTTCTGATTGGTTCTCCTGGGTCAGATGGCTAGTGCTCACGTGACACCAATATGGATGCTGCGGTGCCTCCCCTTGGGCGGGTTGGGAGTGCCAGCTGGAATTTTTCCTCTGCTCTTTCTTGGCTCTGGGGCTATTTAGGCTCCAGAACAAGTGGGTGGTTTCTTTAATTTTCTCCCGTATTTCTGTCCTTTTATGTTTACTTTAAGAACAGTAACATGATGGAGAGGAAAGGACTAGGGGCTTTATTCTGGCTTTTAGCTACCTCCCCACCTTTTTCTTTTTTTTGAGTCAAAAGAGAGAGGGCCCTGATCTGGACCAAGGAGCAAACAGGATGAGCGTGCCTTGGGGAATTTTGAGGGGAAGGTGGTCCCCTGCTTTGACAGGTGGTTTTAACTTAATATTGCAGATGAATTTTTTTTTTTTTTTTTGCCTCGTCACTGTTCAGGTCTCCAGCCCACAGCCAACATTCCCAGCTAACATTCTCTCTGAGCTCTTGTAGACAAAGGTGAACCATGCTCTATATGCTGCATGCAACAAATTCCCACAGACTTGTCAGCCTAAAATAATAGAAATGTATCTTTTCATGGTTCTGGAAGCGGGAAGTCCAAAACTGGCATCAGCTGGGCCACAGTCAAGGTTGCCGCTCCCTTGGATGCGAAGGGAGCAATTCCCTTGCCTCCTCCAGCTCCAGGGCTGCTGGCTGTCCCTGGCTTGCAGACGCACCAGTCTAGCCTCTGTGTCCGTGGTCACACTGCTTCCTCCTTTTCTCTGTGTGTGCTGTCCCCCAGCTCTCACTTGCAAATGCACTTGTGGATGGCATATGGAATTCACCGGAAGATTCCAGGATAACCTTGTCTCAAAACCCTTAATTCAATCACACCTGCAAAACCTTTACCTTGTAAGGTATCTTCCACAGGTCCTAGGAATTAGGTCTTGGTATCTTTTAGGGGGTTACCATTCCTCCCACTACAAGCCCCAAAACCTTTCTTCCCCCGAGGAGGGTGTAGGCTGGGCAGATTCTCTGGCAAGATGATTTACCAGAGCCCAGATTAAGGGCCCTTTCTGACATTTGTAAACTTGCTATTCTCCTTTTCTTCTTTAAAGATTTATTTATTTATTTTAGAGGGGGTGGGGGCTAACTCCCTGCTCTACTCTGGCCTCTGCTTGGGGCTCGCTCTCATCACCCTGAGATCACGACCGGAGCTGAAGTCAGGAGTCGGAGGCTTAACCAGCTGAGCAGCCCAGGTGCCCTGCTAGTCTCCTTTTCTTTTTCCTCCTGTTTTGCCTTCCCACCAGGAAGCATAAAGACTCACAGAAGAACAAACCCAGCTCCCAGATACATGGAGAGCCAAAGCAGGGCTGAGGAGTGGGCTGTGAGGAGATCAGGCCCCTGGGGTCTTAGCCACAGGCAGTTTCCTCCTAATAGATGGATTTGCATAAGGAAAGCAAAGGTGGGAATTTAGGCCCTGCTGCCAATCCCGAGATAAAGAGGTGATTTCCCTCCCTACCTGCGGCCCCTTGTCTACTTAGGAGCTTTTAGGAAACATCCAGGGCCTCAGAATTCACTCTTCTCCCAGCCATGCAGACTCTACATCATGCTCACCAGTACCAGGAAGGCACCCCCCGATTCAGGCACTTCCCAGACTCCCACTCCACGGTCAAGACCCTGGTCCCAGACGTCACAGCCTCAGCAGTCAGCAATCCCCTGGGCATCCTCATTAGCTGAACTGCTTTCCCCCAGTTCCACAGACAGGCACTGGGCCCCCTGCATGAGGACACGCTCATCTGGCCTTTCTGAGCATACAGCCCCCGTCACTCTCGCTGGGCTGGGTCTCAGGAGGGGGATGCTGGGAGGGCGTTTAGGAGGGTAGGAGCTACTGTCTAAAGGGCCACCATGGTCTGTTGGGCACATGGGTCGACAGGGCAGCCCCGGCTCTTGGGAAGCACAGGTCCTCCTTCGAAGTCTAGAAAAGCTCTTGACATTGAATGGCACAGTAGTGCGTTTAAAGACCTCAGGCCCTGGAGCCAGACGGGGCTCAGGCTCCAGGCCGGCTGCTTGCTAGCGATGTGACATGGGGCACTTGAACCTAAGCCTCTGGGAGCTAACCTACAAAATGGCAGTGATACCAGGATACAGATGAAATGGGCTAACACGTGTGAAGTACTCACAGCGCCTGGCAATGGAAAGTGTTTTGTGCAGATCAGCAGCAATCAAGACCATCAGGGATATTTGTCCTAAGCAAGTCAGTATTGGAAGAGCTGCTACAGTAACTCAGCGCCCAAAGGTACTACATATAAAATATTTTATTATAAAAAGCTCACTTGCACGGCATTTTAGAAGGGATAAAATATCTCATACAGCTCTCCTTTTTCGCCCCTGGAGCAGCTGGTTCTGGGAGGGCCCGAGGCCCGGTAATGCCTAAGATCAGAGTCTCTATGCTTCAGGGGTTCTGAACAGCGTCAGGGGGCCTCACCCCCACACCATCGATCAGCCTCTTGTTTCGCTTCATTTACGGGACAGCCCCGCGTCCTTTCTAGAAAGCTGAGTCACATCTCCTGCCCACAGCTCAGGCAGGACTCCGGTGAAGAAAGCGAAGGCCTATCTTGTTTTCTTTTTGAAACAAAACAGTCCTAGTGGAAGCAAAACAAAATCACAACCTAAACCAGCTGCTGGCGTCCTTTCCGGATTTGAAAGAGATGTGTTGTCACCAAGAACTCAGAGTTGGGGAGAAACGACAGGGAAGGTGCGTACCCCGTGCCCCCAACGGGGCCCACATCCCAGATCTGAGGCAGAAGCTCCTCCCAGTGCACCTGCCACGTGAGGTCCCACGGACGTCCGTCAGTCCCTAGTGACCGGATACCCCCCGCCCCTCCCCACACCCCCTGCCCCCATCCACATCAGTGTGTGTACGTTTGGCCCCTCCGCTTCTCCACTGCAGCTGAAGTGGCTTCACTGGGGGTCCGTGGTGTGGAGAGTGAGCGACAGGAGGGACACACCTGAATGGTGCCGTCAGTCAGGTGGCCTGGCATCAGAAGCCTTCTCCTGGACTTCGTCGTACTGTGGTGGCGGAGTCAGAGGCTCGATGGAGGGAGGAGGGACGTTCTTGTCCGGCAGGTTGATCCTGAAGTCTTTAAGGTGAAGCTTTTCGGATTTAATCCTCCGAACCTTCAGTGGCTTTAGGCGTTTGGCCAACTTGGAGTTCTGCCTGTCGGGCGGATGCCCCGGGCTGGTCTCTGCGTTGGCCCTGGCAGCCGTGGGGCTCGTTTCGTCAGGCCCAGTCAAGGACTCATAGGAGGGGAGAGAGATGCTCATCCTGGGGTTCTGGTCCACTTCCCTCGGTTCCGAGTAGTTGGTGTTCATCACTTCCTCATAACTGGGGACGTAGTACCTGGAGGAGGCCTCCTCCTCCTCCTCCTGGCTGCAAGGCAACAAGCACCAACAGAGAGTGTTAGCAGGCGCTCCGCCGTATCTGAAATCACCAGGGATGAACTCTGGATCCTGTGTCAGCCCCGGGTCCTCATATACCGGACTTGGAAACAACCAGTGGGTCCCAGAAGTAACCAAAGCTAACACTTCAACTGTGTGCAAGGAGTTGGGTACTCTGCTAAGTACTCTGACACAGATCAACCAGTCTCATCTTCCTAACAACACAATGAGTTAGGTACTATTTTTATACCCATTTTATGGATGGGTAAATGGTTATGTCAAGGTTATATGACTTGGTCATATACTTGGGAAGTGGGAGATCAGGAACTAAACGCCACCCTCAATGACTACACTGGACGGTCCGGAAATGTTAACACAAGGAAGTGTGAAACCCCCTTTGCTTTTAAGCCTCATCCTTAACCACATGCCGGGTGGGCTGCTCTGGTGCCAAGCTTGGTCCTTTGGCCAAAGGCTACATAAATACACATGAACCAGCTGCCAGCCTGAAGCAAAGTGGTTGTTCCCAGGGAGAGAAGGAATTTCTGCTATAAAATTTGTAAGTATTTCAAGTTATTCTGTAATTTTATCTCCAAATTCACTGTAAGGCTCAAAGGTCTTATCCTCAGACATAGTCTCCTTTGACTGTTGAAAGAGAAAACCAGTAAGTCAGGGTGATTTTTTGGTTTTGTTTTTACACATGTGCAGGGAATAGTGCTATTAGTCATAGTCCAGGACTCTGCACTTGAACCTGTAGGGTGATAACGGCCAACATCAGCCCCTTCCTGTGTGTCCCAGCCTTCCTCTCACTTCATTTGGGCACGCATGTGCTCATGGCTAGGGTGGGTAATTAGGGATGACTGATTTTCCTTCTTTGTTCTTTTCTGTATTTCTTAAGTCTTCTAGAATATGCATGCAAGATCTTTTATTATCAGAAAATGGGTTTCGTTTTTCCAAACTAAAAACAACTCCCTCCCCGCTAGAAAGATGACAAAGTTGCAGAAAATCTAAACAATGCCGAAAAACCTCAGAACACCATCCCATCTCCTTCCACCTGGAGACAGGCACTGTTAACACGCTGTTGTACATCTTTCCAGACCTCTCTCTAATCCCACAGCTGCAACATTTGATGTGATTAAGACCTTCCCAAAGATGCTGTGGTGCTACCTCCATTTCCCACCGTGGAGCATATGGTCCCACGATAGCAAATATAGGTCAGCTATGGCTGTGCAGAATGCCACCAAGGAGGCGTGCCGTAATTTCGCCCGAATGATGGATATTTAGGTCGCTTGCTCATTTTTTGCTGTCCTAAGCAATGTTCTGATAAACCTAAGGGCACAGACTCCTTTGTACTTGCATGATTTTTCCTCCCAAGGGTAAACTCTTAGGAATGGAATGGAGAGGGACACACATCTTCAATACCTCCTCCCACTGCCTCTTCAGAAAGGCTGTGTCAGTCACCGCCCCCATCAGTGACCCATTTCCCTACAGCTCTCCAACACCAGGGGCTGCCTGTCCTGGCCATGAAGACAGGCAAAGAATGATGACACCTTTCCTTGTTTGCATTTCGTGACTAATGAGGTGGAACATCTACTGTCTGAACATTCTATGAGATGCTTCCTTGTATCCTTTATCCATTTTCCTACTGGTGTGCTCATCTGTCACATTCCTTTGCAAGGGCTTCTTCTAGTAGGGATGTCAACCTTCATCATGTGTTCCCTGATGTACCGCTTATCTCATAAACATGTTTGTGGCATTTTTGTTCAAATAGAACACTGCTTCCCAACCTTTTCAATACAAAGCATGCACACACAGCCCATCTGGAGACTCTGGCTGTCCTGGGCCCTGTGTAGCTTCCCGGCGGGTGTCAGAATCTTGATACACTTGTCATCCATTCATACCGCATTACTGGGGAAACTATAGAATTATAAAGTTACTTGGAAAATTGTAAACTGCTTTTCAGAGCCTCAGTGGGGGACAGTGGGAAGGCAGCGTGTCCTAGACTAAAATAATCTCATCAGTGACCCCTAGGAATGTGTGTGTGTGTGTGTGTGTGTGTGTGTGTTTGCGTGCATGTATCGATCCCCTGGTCCGAGGGCGGTCGGCCCGGCCTCACCTGTCTTCCTCCGGGGCATGCGGCTCGACCCCCCGCTGGTGCTGGACATGGGCCATCTCCTCGCCCTGCCGCTGCTTCCTCTTGTCCCGGATGCTCAGGCAGATGGAGAGCAGCAGAAGCATCACCCCAGCCCCGACCAGCACGTAGGCCACGGAGAAGGTCTTGCTCTTGAGAATGCCGCTGCCTATCTCCGTCTTGTTGTTCCCATGAGCGGTCGGCTTTTCGTGGGCGCTGAACCCAGGCACCAGGTTCCACATGGCCATGATGACCCCAAGAACCAGCATCCCCAGGCCGATGGCGGTCAGTGCATAGTGGGAGCCGTTGGCCTTCGACTGGGCCATCATGCCAGTGGGAGCGGGGCGAGGCCCGGTGCAGAGAAAGAAAATAAACAAATGGGAACAGCAGCAGCAGCAGCAGCAGCAGGAACAACAAAAACCCCTTCAATGCACGGAACGAAATCCCTAGTGCCGCCCTAAAGAAACAGCGGCTGACCTCCCGAGGGACGGTTTCCAGCAAATTTGAGGCATCCTGTGTGGACAGCTGCGGCCGAGAGGTCTGGAAGGAAAGCAGAGAGAGAGAGGAGGATCAGTTCGGATTCCGGATGCTTTTGTGAACCCAGCGCCTGTCCTCCTGAAGGAGTTATGGAGCAGGACCGAGCTGTGGGCTCCGGCCGGGCCGCTGATGCATTCCAGATGTCTTATGTGCCGCGCTCGGCTCCTTCTGTGAGCCTGCAGAAGGAGGGCTGGTCCGCCCACCCCACCCGAAAAGGAAAAGCCAGACCTTTCCATGCAGGAGACCAGAGAGGTCAGCACTCCGGGTCCTAAAAACATTTTGTGGAATTTAAGGAAGTGCAGGGCAGTCTCAGCGGGCACGAGGTCCAGCGAGGAGCGCCAATGACGGCGTGCATGAGCCGTGGTCAGTAGCCCAAATGGCCTGGGCGACGGGCATCGGTCAGGGATACATCCCGGCGCACACAGCCTAGGGGCTGGTCCCCACCCTTCACGGCTCCCCATCTCCTGCAGTAGAAAATCTGGGCTCCTGGAGTCATGCGTGTGACCGCCTCTCGCCCTCATCTCTCACCTCGCCTTTCTCTGCACAGCCCCCTCCAGCATTTCTGCAGTTCTCTGCGTACCCCCGTCACCCCCAGCTTCCCCTTTTGTGGGCTGCTACAGGCCACCAGTGGCTACCGTGCCCAGTGTCTCTCTTGCCATGACACATCTCTGTGCCTGGAACAAAGCGGGGCTCCAGATATGTCGGCTGAAACATCACTGAATGAAATGAACAGAGGCCACCTGAAGCCATCTGGGAGACTAGTCTCCCTCCAGCCACATGGAGTTTTGCTTTTCTTAAAGGGGCAGAAGCCTCCCTGTTTCCCATCTTAGCTGCGGTGCCCAGCTGGACGAGAAACCCTCTTCCCATGAAGCGACTCAGAGACCTTGTGCTCAAGGGAGCAGCCCACCGTCTGGGGATCCTACGACCATGTGTGGGCTGGGAGAATGAGCCAGATGAACAAGTCACCTGAAGGTTTAGCTCAGAACACCTCCAGGGGCCAGGAGGACCAGCGAGCGGGGCCCTTCCGGGCTAACTGCTCTTCAATATATTATTCCCAGGACAGTGACCTTTGCAGAATAGCAAAGCCTGACAGATGTTTGGATGGGCAAGGTCCTATTTTCAATGCTGCATTCCTTCCGATCTTTCCAGAGGGACGGCTAACCAGGCCACTTGAAATCCAATGCTGCAGAGATATTTTCTCATCAAACAACGGGCTCAATCTGAAAGTGCCCACTTTGTTAAAAAATACTCTAAATATATTTGGGATAATATCCTTTGTCAGCTTGAGGTCTGTTCTTTCTTCCTTCTTCACGCCACAGATATTTCCTGCGCATCTGCTAAGAGGCATTAGGCACTGGAGGGACACCGGTGAGCAAGCGAAGGGTTAGTGGGGCTTCCTGGCCAGCAGGAAAAAGGTCTGCAAGGAATAATGACAAAGTGGGAAGAAAGTCTAGAAACTGTGGCGCTTGGTAGGTGGGTGTCATCACTCGGGCTGGAGGGGCTGTGGAAAGTCTCTGTGAGAGAGAGAAGCCCCACTTCACATAATAGGGTCTGCACCCAGACTGTGCTATGCTATGTGCAGACGTGCATCCCTACTATACATGTACACTCATGTGTCAACATGTATGTGTAGGCAGTAGGGCACTGAACAAGGATTCCATCCCACTGCAGACAAGTTGCTGGGGGTCAGCTGAAAAGCCTACAAAACCCAATGAGGGTATCTGTTTCCCAAATATCACTCATAGCCAGCACAGGAAAGGATGAGTGGTTTAGCAGTTTTGTGGAATGGATCGAAGACAAGGCAAGAGGAGAAAGATGGCTTAGGGGTGTGGAGGTGCAGCCCAAGGCTGGGGAGGGAAGCAGGAGATGAAAAAGCCCATGCCTGAGCACCTGCTAGGGGCCCAACAGGGAGGCCTTGTCCCTGGGAGGCTGATGGTGTGTTCTCTTAACTGGCGACTGGGGCCACTGGAACCTTCTACCCTTCCTGCTCGCTCCACCCAAGCTTTGCCTTACCTGTCATATGAGTAAAACAGGCCCTAGAGGAGAGTCACTGACAGAGATGAAAATGTCAGGATTCATACATTTGGGCCTGTTAAATGGTCAGTGATGGAAAACAGGCAGTAATATCCGGTGTGGGCAATGGTGCTGGGATAAGCGATTTCATACAATTTTTCCGGATGGGAAGTGCTGCCATTGATGGATCAGAAGTTTCAAAAATGCTTATACCCTTTGGCTTTGTAATTCCAACTTCTAAGAATTAGGTACATGCCAAGGATATTCATCGTAGCTTTGTAGCAGTGAGAAAATAGAAATTATTTAAGAAGCCCATAATCTGAATCTGGTTAAATGAAATACAGTACACGTACTTGTTAAACTATGGTTTCAAGCCGGCTTAGGATAGATTTTAAAGTCAAACAAACAAACAATAAAACCAAAAACCAGTATGTTCAGTGTGATTCTAATTTTTTAAGAATTCTATATACAGATCTGTACACACGAATACATAGGAAGGAAGACCAGATAATCCTCCTTATGTTAAAATAAGTAAGAGAAAAAAGATTTTCGTATGTACAAACACACATGTAAAAATCTCGGACAAGGGACACATTCCAAATTTAGCAATGAATTGCTTCAGAGAAGAGAGAGGGCTTGGGAGGTGTACCTGTTACTCTGTTTCTGTATTTTGGACTTGTTACAATCAGAAGGTGCTGCAAGGTACCATAACTTGGTGGTTCTACGTGAACTTCAGAACCAGGCTGCCTAGCTCACGTCCTCACTCTGGACTTTCCCAGCTGTGTGCCTTTAGGCAAGTTACTCAACCTCTCTGTGCCTCAGCTTCCACAACTACAAAAATGGAGACAAAAGCCTTCTGGTATTCATCCATAGGGGAGTTATGATAAGTGAACAAGAAAACTTACATAAAATACTTAGAATTATATGTGACCAGCACATAGTAAGTTCTTCTAGGAAGGTTTGTTCTTTAATATTATTTAAAGCTTGCATTCCGGGGCACCTGGGTGGCTCAGTGGGTTAAAGCCTCTGCCTTGAGCTCAGGACATGATCCCAGGGATCGAGCCCCACACATCGGGCTCTCTGCTCAGCAGGGAGCCTGCCTCCCTCTCTCTCTCTGCCTGCCTCTCTGCCTACTTGTGATCTCTGTCTGTCAAATAAATAAAATCTTAAAAAAAAAAAAAAAGCTTGCATTCCTAATGGGGTGCGACCACCCATGGGGTAGGGGCAAAAATTCATTCTTGGGGATGGTATAAAAATAGTCTTATGCATTACAATGGTTTGTGGCCCGCCACAATACATTAACAGACACACAGGATACCTGCACTCTTAAAATTTCATGGGGGCAGGGGTGAAGTGGGGGGATTACAAAAACGATGTCTAAAAAGACTCTTTAGGGGACAATACTGGGAGGGGGAAGGCTGAGAAACACTAGTTAATATTTCATATTAAATTTCAAAACACTCAAATTATGCATTCCATGGTCGTCTTAGTTGTTTTCTGTGCGCCGGGATTACAGTGATTTTTATTTTCTTTTTCTTACTGGGAGAGTAAGAACTGGAAACAGAAACATGTATGTGTTGCTTTTAGAATAAAAAAAATGAAATGAAGGTTTTGGTGTTTTGGGGCTCGTGGCAGGGTCATGTGCCCAGGGTTCGTTTAAACTTGTCCATCGATTCCCATCGATTCTGCCCTCTCTCTCTGGAGTCTGGGACCCCGGGGGGGCTCCCCAGAGTGTGGGACCCAGCCCCCAGCTGCAGCTGCTGGCTGTTTCTCTCATTTCTGGCTTGTTGACCCATGTTATATTTAGTAAGGTGTTCTTTCCCTTTCAAAAATATGGAAAGAAGCTAATTTTGTTCTAGAGGATTTGGACCACATAGTTTCCAACACATCCCTAAAACAGAGGAGCCTTGGCGGGCAGACTGGGGTCCCTGCTCTGCTAGACCCACCTCTGGCTGGATGCATCATAGCTCAGGTTCCGGGCGGCCCTAAGGGATAAGTGAGTGATCCTATACCTGGATTTTCAAGAACAGTGGTTAACTAGTTAACTAGTCTTAACTAGTTAAGAGAGGTACTCTAGTTAAGAGAGGTAACTGTTGTTACCTGGCTTGAAAACAACTCTTCATGCTAAACTCTTGAGTTAAGGACCCACCTGTAAAAAAACAGAAACACAGCTTTCTAAGTAAGCTGTGAGCATTTCCATGTGAGGGGCTCATGGGGGAGGAATGTGTTTTCTTTGTTTTTTTTTTGGGCAGGGGTTGGGGGGGCATAGGTTGGGCTGTGTGGTTGGGACACATAGTAAGAAAAGTTGTATCAGAAGAAGCCAAGATTCTGTACCAAAAAGTGGGGCCACAGAAGGATGACAGTCTGGTAGCTGTGTTTACCAGAACTTTCTGTGGTTTCATCCATCTTCCACAGGTGCCCCTGAGGCTTAAAAGAAGAGGAAACATTCCCCCAAATCATTTGATGAGGAGTGTATCATCTTGATACCAAACCAAACAAGGACAAGGCAAGAAAGGAAAATGACGGGCCAATCTGATCTGTCTGCACACAGACAAAAATCCTAAACAAAATGCCAGCAAATAGAATCCAACAATGTGAGAAAGGAATGCACCCACTTCCTAGAGGAGAACACAGGCAGCAACCTCCCGTGACCTCCACAGCAAGCAACTTCTTGCTGGACACGTTGCCAAAGGCAAGGGAAACAGAAGCAAAAATGAACTATTGGGACAAGATAAAAAGCTTTGCACAACAAAGGAAACAATCAGCAAAACCCAAAGACAGCCTATGGAATGGGAGAAGATATTTGCAGAGGCCTTATCAGATAAAGGGCTGGTATCCAAAATCTATAAAGAACTTATCAAACTCAACACCCAAAGAACAAATAATCCAGTCCAGAAATGGGCAGAAGACATGAACAGACATATCTTCAAGGACATTCCAAGTGGCCAACAGACCCATGAAAAAAATGCTCCACATCAGTCGGCATCAGG